CCCTAAACCCCTATAAACCCTAAGAGTTCCGCCTCGCCCTCCAGGGCCAACGTCTCCGAGGCGGCCTCGGACTCTGCAGCCGCGAGGCTTCGGTGCTCGGACTCGCGGGAGGCCTCCTGTCTCTAAGGTTTAGGGTTTAGGGTTTAGGGTTTAGGGGTTTAGGGTTTAGGGGTTTAGGGTTTAGGGTTTAGGGTTTAGGGTTTAGTCTCTAAATGGGGGTTTCCGAAAATAGGGGACCCTAATATAGTACCCTAAATAATAGGATCCCTATTATAAGGACCCCAAAATAAGGTACCCTAATTTTCTGAAACTCCCAATTGTCGGTCCCTTCTGGGGTCCTTTATGAGGGTTCCTTAAAGGGATCTAAAAGGGTTTCTATAAGGGTTCTATAAGGGTAGTTCTCTAAATTTCGGTCCCTTTCGGGTCCTTTTTATAATATAAGGGTTTAGGGTTTAGGGTTTCGCGCTTTTTTTGTGGTTTGGAAAATAAACGACTGAAGACGAACAAACTAAACATCTTGGAAGCATAGATGTGTATATACATATGTATATAAAAATATCTGTATGTAGATATGTACACACCTATATGTATGTACATATATATATATATACACGCACACATACATCCTCGCATGGCATAGTTTGAGGCTGATTTGCCTTGCCGTGTGCTTGCGTTTGTTGGGTTTAGTGAGGTGTTGATTGACATGGTGATGCCTTGTCGCAGAGGCCCTTGTGGAATGAAATCTTTACGAAGACGGTCCAGCCAGCTATGGTTGTTTCGGAGGACAAGTGCTTTAAACAACTACAAGTAACTGACACGTACATGATATATAATTGTCTTTGTATATATGTATATATGTATGCATGCATGCATGTGTGTATGTATCATACATACATACATACATACATACATACATACATACAGACAGACAGACAGACAGACAGACAGACAGACAGACAGACAGACAGACGGCAAGACAGAAAGACAGACAGACAGACACACTGATACATACCACATACATACCACATACATACATACATACATACATACATACATACATACAACACATACATACACATACATACAGACATACGTACATACATACAGACATACATATATGCCAACGTATACACGCATGAGAACAACCTTAAGCCCGCGGCACTAAAAGTCGAAAGCTCTACAGCTCAAACCTTCAAGCCTGAAGCCTGAACCTAACACCCTGAACCATATGTGTGTGTGTGTGTATATACATATATATATAAACACA